TCTCTCCTTTGCGGACCGCACAGAATGGAGTGCGGCCGCATTGCTTTTCTGCCTTGGATGAGTAATCTTTGAACCTCTCCTTTGCGGACCGCACAGAATGGAGTGCGGCCGCATTGGTCCTGTTTTGCTGAGCTTGGACTTGTTCTTGGTACTTGTGCATGTTTCACTCCTTTTTGAGCTGGTTTTGACGAATTGTCACCTTGTTGATCAAACCCTGCAATCAAGTACAACACGTAAGCCTTTTGGACTATTTTGTACACATTTCTAATCAAAACTCAAGCAAGAAGGAGTGTAAAATACATCATAATCCCTAGTTATCACCATGCGTATTAGACCCGGTAGTGGATGTTGACTATTCCAGTTGTAGATCTTCTCGGAGTTAGCAAGGTAGTTGCTGGCGATCGCAACCCTGCTCTTCTCCCTCCTATCTTCCTATAGTTTGTTTTGTAGTTACATTTCCAGACTATGTTAGTCTCAGTATTTTCGGATAGATTTTTTGTAGATGCTCATGACTAGTGACACCCCGATGTCGGGCTTTTCTTTCCGCGCTTTCGTTATTTAGAATTTCTATATGAAGTTTTATTAGTAAATAGCTTGAATCTATCTTTAAAATGAAATATATCGTGTTGCTTTTGGTAAAGAGTCAGCTTGCCTAGTACCACGATAGGCGTCATCACGACATGGTAGTTTGGGTCGTGACACTTAGTTACCTTCGAAGTTGGCTATTTGACTTTTGTTACTCCTGGACGTTAACGTGGTAAAGAGCGTGGATACATACACTCTTTTAGGCTCGTGAAAGTGGGGAAAAAAATTAAAAAAATCAACTTTCAAATGTAATACTTTTCTATCGTTAATATAAATATTTATTTTTTACAATATAATTATGTATTTCTTCTTGCTTCACCTTAATAAAAACATATAGTTTATCCAGTTTTGTATTTTTAATTTCTTTTTTAAATATAATGGCTATTTGATCAAATTGTATATTTCATTTTTTTGGGTCAAATTTATAAATAAACATAGTTGGAACTACCTAGCTAAATAAAAATAGATTTAGCTAAAATAATAAAGTACCAACTGTGTATTATTTGTTTTTTTAGATGCAAATAACTATATATCTTAATTGAGTATTTTTATTTTTTGGTCAAATCGATAAAAAAATTGGCTAGAGTTTTATTATTTCCTTGTTTAATTAAAAAGATATAGCCAAAATAGCGGAATTGTAATTATTTTCAGAAATCCACGACACTTTTGAAATGCTTAACTAAAGCCACCTACTACGTTGTTTAAGCAAATAGAATAATTATTATAGTATTCTTTTATTTCTTTGATAGGCACACACATTTTTGTGTACCATTAAAAAATCATTTTCTCAAGACATGAATAACGACTTCTAGAGTCATTTAATTACTATTGTCTTGGAAGATATCGAAAAACTTAAATAAATTTTTTTACAAAAAAAGTAATTTAAATAAAGAAAGAGTCTATATTTATATACAAGTAAAATCTTAATCCATGTTATTTCTAAGTAATAGGAGCTTTTACCTAATTCAAATAAGGAAAGATTTAATAGCCAAAATTAAATTAATTTGAAAAGCCTAAAATATTAGGAAAATAATCAATGAAGGGTAAAAGGGCAAACGATATTTTGCTAAGAGTCTTCGTGCTCTTAATATAATATAGATGAACTTTAGGACTGCGTAAATGTTATCTTTCCCTTCCAAGAATAATAGTCTTTTTTGGCAGTTCAATTTTTACAATACAATAATAAGTATGGCAATTTTGTTCAAGTTGATGCGCAGGTTCAGCCAAAATAGCACCATTGGCTTATTAACCGACAAGCAAATCTTTCATTCTTATATTTATATGTGACCCAAACTGAGAAGGAACTCTTAGATGATTCAAATATAACCAAATTTTGTTGTCACATTTTCAAGTGCTACAGATAATTCCATCTAAAATGCAAGCACCATAAAAGCCTCCATTTATCCTTTCCATCTACGTATATTCTTTTGTTCCTTTTCTCTTTAGTTTTGTTTTTCTTTTTTACCTTCCTTTATGGTAAGTAAAGCAGCAATTAGAGGCTTCTTTTACCAGCATCTCATACTTTAAGAAAAGAGTATTTATCGAAGAGAAAATGCATAAAGACCACATTCAACTTGTCCTGGAAAATTATTTACATACCTAAACTTTACAGGTGTCCTAACACCCCACTATTGTTAAAACAATTGTATTTATTTATTCCCTCCTAAGCCCTAGCCCAATTATAATAACTTGAGTGGGAAACACGCGCTTTTATTATGAAGCCACGTAATTAAATTGTTCGGTAAATAAACGTAACAGCCTTCAAAGATTCTCATTCACCCCGTTAACCCCTTTAGTAAAAAATTCCCAAATTGAAGAACCCTAATGCCCACCTTCAAAGATTCGATTTGCCTCACCAAAATCGATTTGCCTGACCAAAATCGAAGGGACCTGTTGTAAAATCCTTCGATTTCGTTGTTCCTTAAGGTTCCGTTTGTTCTCAATTGTTTCATTTGACGAGTTGATGGAAGACCCGTTCGAAGTTGAAGGTCTTTGAAGAATCAAGTTCAAACGTTATCTCTGTTTTAGTTTGGAGGTAAATACATCAACCCTAGCCTTTTCTATCATCAACCCTAAATTTTATCTCTGTTTTAGTTTGTTTAATATCATCCGTAACTAGGGTTTTGAACTTGCTTCAAATTTCTTACTGTAACGTTTTCAATGTAAAATCGAGTAACAGAAATACAATTTTTAAGGTGTAATAATAACCAAATTTCAGTTTTTTCTTGTTGCATGTATTGTGACTTCTTATGTCGGGGTCTAATAGTAACTATTAATCCTTAATTAGTTTATTTTCTACTATATTCAGGTATTTCAATGTCTTTTGTACTTGTTACACTAAGGTTTTTCCATGGTGAAAAAATCTCCATGGATAAGTTACATTCCTTTTCAGCGGAGGATTATGTTGGTAGAATGATTACTGATTGTGTTGATGTCGATGTTGATATGTTCTCATATTTTGAGTTTTTAGGTTATGTGAAAGAGTTTGGGTACAATAGTTCTTCTGCTGTTATTTATGTTAGACCACCTAATTGTCCTGGTTTGGTAGTAATTAAGGTTGATAGGGACCTTATGGGTATTTGTAAAGAGTTAAAAAGTGGGGATATTTTGGAGGTATATGTAGATCACATGGTTGATGATGCTGTAGCGGTCCCCCCTCTATTAAAATATGTCAGCCAAGTGGGGGGTGATAGTAATGTTACTTTTGAGGAGGAATCTGGTCAAGATTTGGGAGAATGTGAGGGTTTGGGAACTTCTGAAAAGGCATCCAATATTGCTGAAAATAGTGCCAATAACAGTGTGCCTACAGCTGTTACTACTGATGATAGTTCAAACTCCTCATCTGAATCTAGTAGCAGCACTGATAATAGCTCAGATTTAGAGCATGAGGAGTTGTTTGAAGAAGGAGAAGCTGATATGGCAGTATACACATGAGGATTACAGGGCATTTAGGGCAGAAAGAAGGACTGTAGAGAGGAGGAAGAGGAAAGAAAGTGCTCCTGAACAAGAACATGTTAAACTAGGTAAGAGAGGGCCAAATGTGGGGTATGATGAATATGAATCTAGGAAGAAGAAGAGTTTAGAAGGTAAGATAGGTGGTGATGAGCCTTATTACCACTCAGATGAAGCTGCTAGTTTTGAGACAGGTCCAGATGAAGTTGATGATGAAGGTGAAGGGGAGGTTCAACAGAAAGTTAAAGCTAGAAGAAGAAAGACTAAAAGAAGAGTAATCTTTGACAAGACTTGCAAGAAAATAGTTTGGGAAACTGGACTTGCATTTGCAAGTATGAGAGATTTTAGAGAAGCTGTAACTAAATATGTTGTTCAACAAAAGGTTTCTATAGAAAAGTATGTAAATGAACCTACAAGGGTGAGGGTTAAGTGCAAGAAGGCATCCTGTCCTTGGCTTCTAGTTGCTAGTTATGATTCTAAGACTATGAGTTTTGTAGTCAAGAACTACAATCCATTTCACAAATGTGACCCTACTAACAGAAACAAACTATGTAATTTAAAGTTCTTGGCCAAAAGGTTCAATGAGAGGATAAAAGAACAACCTAACATTAGAATATTCAAGTTTCAGGAGTTGATTAGAAAGAAATTGGGATTATATGTTGGGAGGACAGTTTGTAAGAGGGCAAAAAATATTGTGTTGAATGAGATAATGGGTGATCATAAATTGGAGTATGGCAGAATATTAGATTATAGGGATGAGTTTCTTAGATCTAATCCAGGGAGCATGTGTAGTGAAGCTTAGTGAAGAAACTTTAGAAGGTGGGAAGAAAATGTTTGTTGGGTTCTACATTTGTTTTGATGCAATGAAGAAGTCATACTTAGCTAGTTGTAGGCCATGCATTTGGTTGGATGGATGTTTTTTAAAAGGGGTATGTAGAGGCCAACTACTTGTAGCAGTTTGCAAAGATGGATATAGTCAGATGCTTCCACTTGCTTGGGTTGTTGTTGAGATTGAAAATATGCACACTTGGAGGTGGTTTGTCAACCTTTTAAAGGGTGATCTTCAGCTTGGAGATGAATCTGACCATTATAAAAGACATGCAAAAGTTAAGCACTTGTAGTTTATTATTATTTTCCTACTGCTATTTCACTTAAAACTAACTACCATTGTTCACTTTGCAGGGGCTTGAGAATGCTATACCAGATCTACTTCCAAATTCTGAGCATAGGATGTGTGCAAGGCACATCCTAGCTAACTGGTCTAAGAAATGGAGGGACATAGGAGAAGGAACTGCTTCTGGAGGTGTGCAAGGTCTACCTATGAGTGGGAGTTGAAGAAAAATCTGGATGAAATAAAGAAATTGGGGAATAAGATAGTTGATGAACTATTATACTACAACATTGAAAGATGGAGCAAGGTGTATTTCAACACATTCTGCAAGTGTGATAGTGTTGACAATAATATGGCAGAATGTTTCAATGCTTGGATTTTGGCAGCAAGGCAGAAGACTATAGTGACAATGCTTGAAGAAATAAGGGTGAAGATGATGAACAGAATAGGTCAGCTCAGGCAGTTTGGAAACACTTGGATTACTGATTTTTCACCAATGGCCATGAAAGTCTTGGAAGAGAACACAGAAAGGTCAATGAAATGTAACATTTTCTGGAATGGTGAGTTTGGATTTGAAGTGAAGCAAGGATCAGGTGCAAGTGAAATGAAGCATCTGGTGGACATCAACAGGCAAACATGCACCTGTAGAGCTTGGATGTTAAAAGGCATACCATGTGCTCATATAGTTGCTGCCCTGCATTATAAAAATCTGGAGCCTTTGAACTATATTTCTCACCGGTACAGTAATGCCACTTACATGAAAACATACAGTTACTTTCTTCAGCCTGTCTTGGGTATGAATATGTGGCCAGAGTCACAAAACCCAACTGTTATACCACCTCATGTCAAGAAGATGCCAGGAAGGTCAAAGAAGGTTAAAAGAAAAGAGTCAGGTGAAAATAAGACAGGAAAATTGTCCAAAAGTGAAGTGGAAAAGACATTTAGCAATTGTCATAACAAGGGTCATAACAAGAGGGGGTGTCATAAAGCTGCTGGAAGTAATACTGTTGCTACTTCAGCAAGTTTTGTGCCTGCAAGTGTTGGTAGTTCAAAGCCACCAAAGCAAAGTACCGGAAGAGGAAGGGGTAGGCCAAAAGGTTCTAAAGAAAAGGTGAAGTTCCTCCCTTTAATGTCTTCTTTCTCTCTTTTAAATAATTACCAGATTCTTACTTTTGATTGGTTGATGTAGGATGTTGGTACTAGCACTGATGTAAGAACACAATATAACAGGCCACAGATGGTTGGGATGGGAGTTTTACATACTCAAAGTGGCTTCAAAATTCAAAATGTAAGCTCTAACACAACCTCTCATATTTAGGTGAATTCATTGTCTGATCTTCTGTTGGATTTTGGCAGCCTGGAATGTCATCTACAAACTTTAAGAATGTGAGGTCTTCAGCAAAAGTAACTGGAGATCTAGGCCATCAACCAACACGAGGTGTTAAATGGAAAGGTAAAGAAGCTATGACATCAAGGCAGCTTCAACAATTGAGAGGCAAGAAACTCATTCAAACAAGGTCTAGGGCTGCTAAGTTGAGCCAGGAAAGCACCACTGCAAAACAACCCAATTGATCAAGATATTATTTTGTTGATGACTGTAATGCAATAGACTGCATTATTCTAAAATTTTAAGCAGCTATAGACTGCAATTCTGTATTATGATAAGGATTTTTAGGTAGCTATAGACTGCATTTCGCATTTTGTTATCTTATGGTGTCTGTTTTACTGCTGCTACAATGACAACAAACAGATGTTTTGTTATCTCATTCTGTGACTGTTTATTATGTCTGTTTCTTTTAGGTCAATGAGACCAAATATGTGTTTCAATAGAGTTTATGCAGCTGTCATATTAAGTCTTTTGTGTGTCTATTGTTGATTGCCAAGTTCTGGGCATACAACGAAACAAACAGAACACACCTACAGTACTTCACAATGTAAAAACAGCGTTTTATTAGAAACAACACTTGATAAGCAACAACTACATACATATTGAGATGACAAAACTACAAAATATTGAGATGACAAAACTACAAAAGGCTTACATTCAAATGAAAGGTCCATTGCAAACATACAAAATAAAACCTACAAGCAAAAACTACATACATATTGAGATGACAAAACTAGATTCAAAATGGCAACCTCATTGCATCTTCTTTCAATGACATTCCTGGATACCTACAAGCAACAAGTATAATACACATCCCCAATATAATGAACCAAAGTACATTTTCCCTAGCCTTGGACTTAGCCAATTTACTCTTCCACTTCTTTTCCTTCTCTTTCATCTTCTCCATATCAACTTGCAATTTCACCAATTGAGCCTCAATCTTCTTCATCTTGTCCCCTTCTATGGTGTTTTCAACCTTTAAAGTTGCCCTCGGCTTGGCAAGATTTTTAAAGCCTTCTAATGCATTCTCAAGTTCACCCATTTTGTCAAGCAATTTTGGAATAACAAATTTGGACCTAGGATCAATTTCGGAATCCTTCCAAACTCAAAAATCACAAGATCGTGGACCCTAAGATGAATAACAAAAGAAAACTAATCAATGATAATTTTCACAACTCAATTATTGAAAGAATTTTCACTATCATTTACCCCATAGTATGGACAAACCCAATATCTTCTTCCTGGGTTCCGAGGGGTCCAAGCTGTTAACAAAGGCAGCACATAGCCATGGTTGCATCGAATTTCTCCACTTGACTCATTTTCTTCCTCTTCCGTGCAAAGCCTTGTCAAACTAAGCCTTTTGAAGGCATTGCAACAACTACAACACAAACAGACAATATCAAAGTCAGATATTTTGCATTTGCTTTCAAAGATCAGATAATTGGATTTTAGGAGAAGACATAACAATAATAAAAGAAAGAAATTAGGGTTCTTAAGAAGGAGAAAGCTTAACCTTTGCCTTCAAAGATTAAAACTTCAAAGGGCAATTTGATGGAATTTCGGCAGAAATTAGAAGAAGAAGAAGAAGAAGAAATTAGGGTTCTTCAATTGGGTTTGGTAAAATATTGGGGAAGAAGGGATTTTACCGTTGGTTGGGGGTTATAATAACGTTAAAAATTTATTTTTTTCTTTTTTTTTGGGTTTTTTCAACGATTAAAAGAGAGCAAGGACGCGCTCAATTCGGTTGTCTAAGACGCGCGGTTGGCCAGGGCTTAGGAGGGAGTAAATAAATACAATTGTTTTAACAATAGTGGGGTGTTAGGACACCCGCAAAGTTTAGGTGTGTAAATGATTTTTCAGAACAAGTTGAATGAGGTCTTTATGGAATCCAAATTCTTTATTTTTCCCGTTGATTAGTCTAAACGCTTTTCGAATGAGGTCACTATATTAAACTATTCCGCGTTTTCCTTTGAAAATGTTATTAAAAATTAAAATACTTTAGAAAATCTTTTTCTCAATTACTTTTGCTATTCAGTTTAAGTATAAAGGTAAATGACAGATGATAATCATACAAGGTACAAGGTGTATGATACGTGCGGAAAAGGAACTTCCATGATTTTTGAGCTAAAGTTAGTAGCAATATTCAAGTGTTAATTGAAACAAGTGATACGGAATCAAAATTGAAGTGTTTATAGAAGAAAAAAAATTCGCCCACAAGTGGAAGAAGTCATATTTTTCTCTTCTTAGCGAAAAATATTCTCCTCCTATTGCTAATTACTGGGTATAAAGTATAAACTGAACCAGGGAGAATAATTCTTTATGCTACAGAAGACAAATTAGCTCTAATGTTCCTTCACTCTTAAATTATGCATAAGAGAATTCAAATTCCGATATTAGCTCCAATCTTTACATGCAGTACTCATTGGTTGAATGGATAAGAGGATATGGACTTCAGGTGCTTATAAATAGAGGCTAATTCTATAAGCAATGATACCCAACAAACTGAAACAAAAAGTTGTCTGTAGTATAGTATCTATCAGCGATTCAATGAATTTTGGTTACACAGGAAAAGTTTGCGGACAGAGAGGTTTTTCCAGATACAAAACTTGAGCAGAATAAAAACAACAACTTTGTATGCAACAGCCATAAGAAACAACACCAGTAAATTTTTCCACTTAGCGTTCTTGTCATCAGATATCTCATAGATATTTTCCAGAGCCTCATAACCAGATATGTTTCTCACCTGCCCAACAGCAAAAGAAGTTCCGACGTACTCGTTCTCCAACAGTCCCTGGTACAAAGAAAACTTTTAACCTTACTCAGAGAGATAATTAGTGATCAAGAATATACACTTAATGAATTCAAGCAAATTCTCAAACTTGCCTGGATAGAGTAAGTATAAAATGCAATATAAGACATGGGGTACATCCATACTGGTCCAGGCAAAGCACTTCTGATTCTAAAAAAACCAGCGGAAAGCATCATTATCACCTGAAACACAAGAGATGATAGCCGTTTAATGAAAAAGTTAGGTCTCAACTCAACAGGAAATGGTATTAAATAGCATTCCGACAAAAAGAATCCTGTCTAATACTAGCATTGCAAACATTTCAGATGCCTAACTTCCTCGATTCCCCTTTTCAGCAAATTGACCCAATGACAAAGTAGAAGAACACAGCCACCAACATCACCGCCTATTTTCTAATCAATAGAATATGACAATATTACACCAAAAGGAAACACAACGAACCTATTGTCAACTTCATCAATGATTTAAGGCAGAACTTACATGTATGGACACAAAACTTAAGATGGTCCAGAAGATATTTTGCCAAATGGAAGCAACAAGCAGTAGCAACCCCTCATTTACCAATAGACACGCAAAGAAATTCAGCACAAAGTACATCAGCAAGCTGAACTCATTCCGCAGCCCAATAAGAAAATAGAAGACCAGACTTGACGAGATGGAGATAAGAAACAAGAAAGGGATGCTGGCAAAAAGCTGCCCAAGTAGGAAAACAAATGCCCCGGAATGCTGGTTTGATTCTTCACAGGTGTATATCTGCAAGTCATCAAGATGTTTGATTAGGGTTTTTCTTTTAACTGGACGAGGATACTAACAACAGCCCATTATCAGGGCAAATAACAAAACCGAACTTTCTAAAAAGCAAGGAAGAGTTAATCGGAAACAATGACAAATTGAAATGTTTAACTTGGTATGAAGAGGACACTCACTATCTAAATGCTCTATTTTGCAGTGGAACAAAATTCAAGACCTATATGTCATTGCGATATCAGATTTTCCACTTAAGCTATGCATCTTTAGTACATGTATTCGATTATTACTGCTAATTATTTACGTAGCACAATCAACATATAAATGCAATGTTAATATCAATATTGCACCTCATCAAACATACTAAAGGTTCCCAGCTGCTTTGTGAAATCAAGTTCAAAGGCTTGCTTGTCAGGACTGATGAGTTTGAAACAGGAGTATGATTCAATAAACCAGGCCAGAAATGTGACAGTCCTAGTGATAAGTCGAGCTATTTCAACTATTGGAGAAGCCTAGTTCTGAGAATTTTAGTTGCTTCGACTCCAGACTTGTCTACATTTCTCCCCACTAATTTGAACAAGTTTGAATGAACAACAGTGATTTGGATAACAGATAGATTAGAGTAAGAGTGGAATATGGAGATTATGACACTACAAAGGGAAACTTTAGTACAGGGCTCTTCAACTTAAATCCCATGTTTAGTTCATGAGATTGAAGAAGAGACTGGAATGAGGATCACATTTCTGTCTCTGAACATACCAAATGACCATATGAAGGTGTATGTATAGTCCATGCTCAGCCTACCAAACAACCCTTGATTCTAAAATACACACATGTACTGAGTTCATGTAGAACATGGCATTCTCATTTAATAAGTTCATAGAAGCATGCTTGGGCATTACCCAGAAGAACACGAATAAGTTACTGACATCACCTTGATCTCTTTCAAGTGTGCAGGTACACTGGCAACGCCTAGCAGAGAGGTGAACGAAACAAATACAAATATTGCTGCTACTCTTGTCTGCATGGCAAGAAAAACATCATAGTTTGCAAACTAAAAACAAGGTCAAGCAATGGCAAATAGTTTCCATCAGAAAAATATAA